CTTCAGTGGTGCCGTTCAGCTGGGCCTTGAAAGCCCCCGCCCCCACCGGCTCGGCCCTAGCCATTTCGCTGGGCTTTTCGCCGCTGCCTCTTTTCTTGCTGCTTTTATCATCTACGTCCTTGTGGTCTGTAAGAAAGTTTTGGTTGCAGACGTTAGAGACCATTCACAAAGGTGCCGTTAGAGAAAGCAAAGCCAAGGCTAATTTCCTGGCACATAATTACAAATCTGTGTGCGCAAGAGCCCGGTGCTCCTTAATTTACATTTGAATATTAAGGCCCCTTCACCTCTGTCCCTGGAGCGCCGTTCCCGCTCCTTGCTGTGGCTCCTGCGTTTGTGGGACCTGCGCTCCGTGCTGCGGGAGCGCCGTCTCTCCCGGCTACGGGACCGGTGCTTCCTGTCGAGGCGTTCCCGGCTGTGCCGCCTCTCTCTATCTCGGCTCCTAAACACACAAAGTTCAACTGGCATCAGACAACAGATTCCTACACCAGAGAGATGAGCCACACGGAGGCCCCCCAGATCGTACCTACTGCACCTCCTCTCCCGGTCCTTGCTCCTAGATCGCTTGTGTTCTCTGGATCTGCTTCTCTTCCTTTCCGAAGCTCTGCTGGAATGTCGGCTGTGGGAATGACTGTGCCGGCTGTGTCGATCCCGATCACGCTCTCTGTCTCGTTCTCGCTCCCGCTCTTTCTCCCTCTCCCTCTCTCTCTCCCTCTCTCGCTCCCGTTCCTTTTCCCGCTCCCTCTCTTCTTCCTCCTTCCGTCGCTTCTTCTCCCGCTCCTCTCGCTCGCGCTCCCGCTCTTCTCTCTCCTTCCGCCCCTTGTCCTCTCTTTCGGAATCTTCTGGCCTCCTGTGCAGTTTCTCCTGTTGGATGTATAAAGTTTCCTTCTGAGTTTCTCACCAAAATGCTGTCTCTGATAATTATAGAATCAGATTCTGTGCCTTTGGTAAATTCTACTGCTATGACAAACGCTGCAGTTTCTTCTTTTGATAGGTGATTTTGCAAACAAACAGTTCTGACATTCAGAATCAAAAGCATGGCGAGGACAGGAGTGAATGCTCACTTTCAGCTCCTCCACAGTGGACTTGATTTTGGCGTATCCCATGTGCTGTTTGCCCATCAGGTGATCATCCACTCGACTCTGAGCATCACCCACAATCAGGAAGGCCCCACAGACCTCACACACCTCCATCTGCTTCTCCTGGGCTGCAAAGTTCTCGATTGTCTGAAATTTTGGAAATGAAATGAAAAGGCAGCCATCAGAACAGTGCATGCAAGAAACAGTGACCATTGCCAAATTAAACATACTATATCTCACAACATATCTTCTGCGTAGTAAAGCCTACTCAGGCTATTCAGGACAAATCCCCCCACTGCTGCCTGGGCAGAGTACAGATGGAAGCGTTGGACTAAATATGCTACATATCTACGGCACTCACAGAGGTGGTGGAGTTCATCAGCTCTCTCTCTTCCTTGAGCTGCTCGACGAGCTTCATCATTCCCTGGGCCTCCTCCACCTTTCCCTCTGAGCCGAGCTCCTCAATCTGCACCAATGAAGAGAAATATACCCCCTCAGTCTCAGATGTCAGACACTGATCGTTCCCGAATTAACAGAACGGCCATCATCAGAAGTAATGAAATACCTGCACTACAAGTGTCTCAATCTTTTCAGTCAACACTTGAATCTTCTCCTCATTTTTTCCAGAGGGTCCCGGTGCCTAAAAAAAATGTACATCACATTAGACATAGGGAAAGGGGAAAACCTCAGTTTTCTGGTTTTATAGAATGCCTTTGACAGGTTTTGCCCTCAGGCCAAAGAATATTTACGAATATTTAAGAATATTTTAAGAATATTTATGGTTTCTTTTTTACTCTTACATCATCCCCATGATCACGTAACAAAAAGGCTACGTCTTACTCATCTGATCATAAAAACATAAAAGGCTAGCAGCATTTCTATTCAGATCTAATTTTATGGTACTGCCCTATTAAATGATTGCTACTTGAATACTTTATTCAAGTAAAAAAAAAAATAATAACCTGTAACAAGTAGCCGAAAGATAGGCTGTCCTGGCTGCAACAAACTACAACTTGGCACAAAGTAGCAGCCACTGCATAACAATAATTAATCCAGTAGCTGTTATCAGGCAAACAAGCCAGATCAGACACAAAGACCTTTAATTTGTGACTGAACACCTGAATGTTACTACATTCAGAGAAGTCCACCAAGAAACCAATTCCTTGCAAATAATTTAACTTGCCCTAAATCTAAAATCTATGTGCAGAAGAAAATGCTGCTAAACATCAGATTAACAGGTGAGTCTAGAATGCACTACAGCACGCAGTAGGTCCCCAACTCACTTAATTTTCATCAGGCCAGCATATCATTGGACGGTATGCATGCTGATGCCTAAATCACATTATCCATATATCACCCTTTTAACCTTCAGAGGCTGGCAACCTCCTGTAGGCAGTTCAACAAAACTTCTTTCATTAACTGAAGATTACAGACCATGGATTCTAGCCTGTCGGTATTTCCCTGATATCAGCAACAAATGGAACTCACTCCAGAGCTTTGCTGGGTCTGAGACAGAGCGAGCCTTGAATGGCCTCTGCGAATCCTGCGTTCAACCTCAGCCAAAAGACTCTGTAGGTACCGCAGGAAGTCTCTTTCATAGCCCTCCTTCATGAACCGAGAGCTCTTCTCATACCTGAAATAGTAGTTTTAACAGTCAGTCAGAACATACAGTTAAGATGAATCTCAACAGAAGAATCTGCTAAGAAACTACGTACTGTTTTCTCAGGTTCTCATCATGAATTTTTTCACACGGACCTGGAGAGAAGGCAAAACACACAGACAGCATAAGAACATAGTGAGATGTAAAATAAACTCAGGCTGTACCTTTAGCTGATAAGGTGACAAATCTGATGACCAAATCAATACACTTACAGCTTAAATACAAACACCTAATGAGATGTAATGAGTTACACACAAGCCAGTTGCAAAAGAATGGCTGAAATTCCATCCTACTTACCCAAGTCAGAACGAGTATTTGTAAATAACTCTGCTGGACAAAATCCACAAAGATAGTATTTGCAGACCTGCAAAGTACATAAATATAAGCTGCATGGGAATTTTTTTTCCAAAGATATGCATCACACAAGGAAAGCAATTAAAACAGGAACGAGATGCTTAATAGGGAATCCCTCTAAATTGTGTGTCACACTTCTGCACCTTCACCGTCATTTATGTTGGCTATGCATTTTTAAATCCAATTTTACTTAAAGTGCAAAACTAATAATACTAGATTTCGGCAATTTCTTATGAATTGGACGACACAATTCTCTAGAAATTCTCTTGACGCCTCCCTCGCATATAGCTAATTATCTCAAAAGTAGCACGTTTAATATTTAAATATAAATCATACAAATAGCGTCATGCAACCATGTAAAGGGCTACCGATTTAGAAAACGGCAGTTTGTGACCAGTAGACACAAAAACACCGAAAACCCTCAGCAGTACAGGTATCCGCCGAAAGCAGGAAGGCGAGCTGCCTGGTGATGAAGCGCTATAAGGAAGTTCCCTGCTAGTGCACCGCAACACAAGATGTATATAGCTAAATATCTTACGTTTAATATATAAAACTACAAGTTATATATTACGTTAGTAAACATATTCTAATACGGTGCGAACACTTCAGTCCAATCTGGCTCTGGCCCTTGTAACTACACACATTTATTAGTACAACTTGGTAGAAAGTTTGCTACAGGACGATAAGTATACTAAAACTTCCATACATCTAGTCAGTTGCTATACACGCACTGGTGGGAAAATCGGTTTTACTGCTCCCTAGTTACAGTGTGTTATCCTGCCCACAGCAGTCCTGGTTGGCTAGCTAGCTAATTAGCACGCCGCCCGCGCCTCAGCCGCTGGAAACCCAGAACTCACGCTTTCGTCATCCCAGTGAACATTACTCCTTTTTTCGTCCGGGGCCAAGTTTCTGTCTCGGCCCATTAATTCATCAAGTAACTGAGCTGCAGAAATCATGTTGAGTGTGTATTTCGAGTGAACTCCCCTACTTCTTCTTCTCCTTGTTTTTAATACACTGAGGCAGCAACAAAATGGCGGACGACACACAGGGAAGGTATTCCGGGAAGAAGCCTCCTTGCCCGCGCGTTTTAATTGGTCGCCGGGAAGAAATGCCATCCTCCTGGCTTAGAGGCGGGCCGCCCATATACAGGGTTTCCGTTTCGGGCTTGATGTTGTATTCCGGAAACAATTTCGTATCAATTACCCCTTTCGGGGCTGCCAATGGCTGAAAATCAGTCTCTATCTGCTTCTTACTGACCAGGTGAGAAGGTGGCTGCAGGAGTACAGTCTGGACCGGATGGCAGTCCATAATAAATTCACACACTATAAGCAATTTATGAAATGCCAGTTAACCCACCTAAATATGGAAAACCCTCAGGGGGAGAACATGCAAGTTCCACACACATGGACAATAAATACATAGATTCAAACCACCAGCTCTGGAGATGCGAGGCAACAGCGCTACCTGCTGAGCCACTGTGTACTTCCTCGTATAAAAAGCTGCTAAATGTATTTACGAAAGTGTGGTTATTACCCAGCCTTTAATCCTTAAAGATAAGTGAGAGAATTATGACTTCCACTTTGATTATAAGTCCATTCCATTATTCTGTTATCTTTGCATTTGTCTTGTTTCAGATGGTTCAATGTTCACCCATTGCTGACTGATCTGGAGTAAATGATATAAAATCTGACCCCAGAAACACATCAGTGCATCTCCTTGTGAAATGCGAAACAATTACTTTCCAAGGTTTTCATTAGGTTTAGAACAGAGTTCACGGCCTGTGGGGAGTTTGGAAATGTGGTATGTTTGCAAAGGTTGTACTGCCAATAAAAGAAAGAGAAATGCACGTGGTCTCAGTTTGTACGTACCCCTGTCTAGTCCCGTAGTACTTTATGCTTGATTCTAGATGGGAACTGGCATTTGGAAATTTGGAGTTGGAGTTTATACAGCAGTTTCAACCGCTTACCTTGAGCAAAAAAATAGGCATGTATATTCAGATATATTAACAGATCTTCAAGATCAATTATAAAAAGCAGAACAGATATGCTCGTCAATGAACAGTGAAATTTGATTTGTTTTTCAGACTGAAATGTGAACGAGTCTGCCTGCACGGGAAACAGGTTATTGCGCATACGTAGTTTATGTGTAACTTATTAAATTAACTACATCTAAAATACTCATTTATGCTTTCGCGATAAATACGACGCCAAAGGTTTAGACACCGGAAGTTCAAGATAGGAACTAAATAATCCGTTCGCTGTTGTTACATTCAACCCTGTCCCTCCAGGGAGGAGTAAATTTAATGCAGTAATGCACTAGCATGTTAGCTTATAGTAAGCTGTTATATAACAGTCAAATTAGCGGCAGTACAAATGTTGCTATTGCACTTTAATACAAGGAAGCGGGAGCCGTCCAACATGATTTGATCATATCTTATGCGAACTTCAAATACCTTCGCTGAAAACGAGCAAAACAGGCGTCAACTGACTCGGTTGCTAGCCTGTTCATATATTTTAGATGTGTTTCTAGCTTGTCGCTAGCAACTAACTTGCCTTCACAGACCTTTCGCGAAGTTAAAGGCTGTCACTGGATCTTGATATAGATAAAATACACATTTTCATTGCTGCTTATGAGTTCTTTTACTGGCTGAAATGTCAACGCTGTCGCTGGATAAAGGAATGCAAGAGCGGCTGCGAGAGGCATCCGCGATCGGGGACATCGACGAAGTACGAGCTTTAGTGGAAAGCGGAGTTAACGTCAACTCGCAGAATGAAATAAACGGATGGTACGTGCGCCTTTAGCCGGCTAGTCAGGGCGTGTTATCTAAGCGGCGGCTGCGTTTTGCTAACTAGCCGCACAGGCGGCAGACGCCACATTTTCGTTTAATCCAGTCGCACAGACCGCTAGCCGGAAATTATGACGTGGTTTTGTTATTACACCGAGGCAACGGCAGATTTAGTTACCGGGCAGGTCAGTCAATGTATAATTTTGGTTTAGTGACCATCATCAGTTTCTGTCTGCAAGAAAACTAACACGCCAGTTTTCTCTTATTTTGTCTCACCTTTTACTATTAAGCTCGGGTTTGTACATTAATCCGTGTTGCCACTAGCATAAAAGCAGATTAACGCATGAAACAAGACACTATAATACGATTTTACTATGTGTATGGTAAAGCACGGTAACGGCGAATAATGGCATACTTCTTTTTACAGAAAAGAGGATTGTTTACCTGCAGTGTGTTTTGCCGGTTTATTGTTTTCAGACTCCTAGCTTTTATTATTTTTGAAGGCCACTTATGTGTATAAATTTGATTTAAATTAATCAAACGCTTAATCGAAAATTTTGTCTGTAATAGTTGGTATTTTCCTACAATAAGTGCCTTATTCACTTGTATTACAGCAGGTCCCCAGCCGATACTTCGACAGCCTGTGTTGAGTCATATCAACTCCTATCTTTAGGAATCTCTTTTGAGATTGAACACTGTCTCTCTCTGTATCCTAATTGGTAAAGCTGTTCATCAGCAATATGATTAGTTTTCCATTAGAAGATGCGAGACGTGTTCTTCAGTGGCGCCTGCAGACAATTTTAATGGCGGTGGCTATCAGGGGCCAGTTATATTTTTGGGGGTGGCCGCTTCGCACCGTGTCACTTCTGTGGTTTTCCTTGAAAAATAAAATAATGTATTATTTTGTTTTTGTTTTATTGTTATAGCTAAATACATGGCCAGGGTAACCATGTATTTACTAGGCGTGCCATCCCTGGTAAATACCCCTTAGATCTACCCCTGATGTTGTTTAGATTGTTGCGTGCATATTGTCTTTCATTCTCAGAATGTATATATCTGCATGGACATGAAAAAAAAAGTTTTCTTGCTCATCCTGTGCAAAATAAGGGGTTGGAATGTATATGGAAGAAAAGATGTTAATTTTTTTTTTGTCCTTGTAGGACTTGTCTGCACTGGGCGTGCAAGAGGAACCACAAACCGATCGTGGCTTATCTTCTGAACTCTGGAGCAGACAAAGATGTTCTCACCTCAAAAGGAGAATTAGCTGTCCAACTAACCTCTAAGCCTGATATCAGAAGACTTCTAGGAGGTTTGTTAACATGTATATGTACTGTATATACATCCAAACATTAAATTGCTTTTAGAAATTTCATGTAATTTCTGACTTTGATGCTGTGCATAGTGACCTACTTTAATGAATTGTACTTATTTTTTCACTCATTCTTGAGAATAGGGACAAAATCTTATTTTGGGGGGATTTTTATTTTTACTCTTCAATCATGCTGGGAAAATATATTTTAAAAGATCAAAGTCTTGGCTATTAAATTTGTAATGGGCCAACCTCCCAGTGATTTCATTTTATCATTATCATTTGCAGCTGAGGGCTTAAATTTTATCTGCTCTATCAGTGCATATTATTATAGTATAAAACACATTTACAGCACAACACACAGCAGGTGCGCAACAGAAATTATTGACATATACTCATTTTTTAAATCATTCTGAACATACTTCCAATGGATATAACAGAAAACAAACCATCTGAAGGATTTGACAGCCAAGTCAACATCATACAAAACACAAAATAGTACACAAACATTTTTAAAAACTTGAAAACACACAGAACGTCATTTCAGATACGAACCTCCTGTTCTTGGTTGTTTCACATTTTAGCAGGACTGTTGCATTGAGAACTTTAAAATACTGACGGAGTTGACGTCTTGTGAAGTTGACAGATTGTTATATATCGTAGTGAGTAGCCATTTTATTTTTTAATGTTGCTAGGATTTCTCTTAATGCTAAGCAAAATATGCATTTTTAAACCATAATTTTTATTCAGTTTTGATTTGGAAGCGCTATGGAGTTGACCTGATATGATGAAACACACCTGATTCAATATTATTTCTTGAATTTATCAAAAAAAAAAAAAATGGAGAGCTTACCAGTGTTTGATTTTTAAGGCGCTTAACTCATTTTTTTTCGTTTGAAGCTGTAAATGCTTGTCTGGGACAAGGGTGTTTTCTGGCACAGGACACGAGACATTAAAAAACATGAAAGCAAACCAATAATTATGCAAATCTTATTGATTTCGTGTATATAAATATATAAAAATAAAATGTCACCAGTTTTTTTTTTTTTTGTAGGATGTGATTTGGCTCAATTCTGAATAATTTTCGGAAATTCTTCCAGCTGGGGTGTAGTTGGAATAATGTCTATATTTGGCTGTAACGTAAGAGCAATCACCCTACATACTGATACATAGTGACACTAAAATGTCTTTGTCGTGTTGTCCATCTCTGCTTGGAGAGTATTTAAGTTCATTATAGTGATAATAAGGAATTCTTTTCTTTGTGGTGAAGACCAGGCTGTTACAAACAGAAACTGTCACTCTAAGCTCTTCAGCTAATGCACTTACCCTTTTGTTTCAGTGCATCTGCCTTGTCTTTGATCTGTCTAATAAATTAATGAACCTCAGTGAGACCAGGTCTCTCTGAACATTATCCCCACACAATAAGTGGCATTTTCGGCTATGCGTCTTATCAAATCCCCATTTAGTATTCTATAAGACTGTCACCTTGAATGAAAAGGCAGTGACTTTTGATTGTAGGACAACCCAAATCAATTAGCAAAAGGATACCATCTAGTTGAAAGAGAGTATGGCATCTGAAGGTTGTGAAGATCAGGCCTGTTATTCTTTTTAGTGGAATGTTTAGAGGCATTGAGAAATGTATTTTCAGTCTTGCAGTAAATGATGATGACATGGATAAGCATTGCTGCAGATGCTACAGATTCAGATGTAGGAGTTAAAGCAGAGTTTGTGTTGGCTGGATAGATATCTTGTATGCAGATTTCTTGAAAATGCCTTTAAAATCTGCAGGTATTAAGACTTGAAACAAGTAGCCGTGATCAGGGAACAACAGTAACACTCAAGGGCTTGTCTCTGGGATATTTACTGGCATATTAAAGTCTTTTGAAAATGATCTGTACATTTTTCACGCTAACACTGGAATGATCGATGGTAATTTGTGGTTTAATTTGTTTCCCCATTATTTGCAGTTGAGGAAGATGTTCCGGAGGTAAAAGAGCCAGAATTACCTATTATCCCAAATTATCTGTCAAATCCACCGTTCCCTTACGGCACGTCTGACACGGATGACCTCATTTTGGCACCCCACACTTTCCAGAATGGTACGGCTAATCGACAGCCTTACTCTGAGCCTGTCACCTCTCTGCCTTCCCCTCCGGACCTGTCTCCAGCCTCCTTGATTTCCTATGAACGGGAAGAAAGCTTGTTTGTTGACCCCGAGAACTCGAAAGAGGGCGCCGGGCAGAATGGCTTGATGCCGGACCCTCCGGGTGCCATGAATGGCGTGCTCTCAGGGGCCCACTGCTCCAGGAACGGAGAGCATAGCCACGCCGCATCTCCGATTGAGCCGGTGCACCCAGTGCCTCCCGCTGCCGGTGGCAGCGCCGGATCCCAGGCTGCCAATCCCACGGTGACCAGACAGCAGTCCATTCCGCAGCAGCTCAGCTGTGGTCCACCCGGGGTATCAGTGCCTGCCTTCCAGCCTTTCTTCTTCACCAGTACCTTTCCAGTTAATGTCCAAGGTAAAGAAGCCCACCTGACGACCCCATGGTCGTCATTCACACAACCCATTCATGCTGCTAATTTCATGTATAATTGTTTCATTGTAGCTATGTTGCATTTATGGCACGTTTATCAAATTGACAGAATATTGGATTTAAATGCAGGCTAAAAAGCAAGTCAGCAAGTCAGCATCTGACTTCAGATTTTACTGAAATTCTTGCTTCTGGAATAAAAATTCCCAGCAGGTACTTCTAGGATAGACCCGCTCCAAATGAAATAGTGTGTCTTTTTATTGTACAGTAAAGCGGTTGCAGGCATGCAGGCACTGCCCTTGGTAGACCTTGCTTGAAATGGCCAGTTCAGTGAGCGTGTCAGTTTCGATCTGTAATCCTTTTATTCCCCCGCAGTCACTCTCAGGATGCCTTTAAACCGAAACTTCCTCAATTCGCGAAGCATCCAGAGAAGCACAAGGGCCTGCCCCCCTTCACAGCCGGTTCCCCAACCCCATCTGTTTCAGAGCTGGTCCTGAAAGTGCGGATTCAGAACCCCAATGCCCGGGAGAATGACTTCATCGAGGTGGAGCTGGACCGCCAGGAACTCACGTACCGCTCGCTGCTCCGGGTCTGCTGCAGGGAGCTCGGCATAAGCGCCGATCACGTGGAGAAGATCCGCAAGCTGCCCAACACCATGCTGAGGAAGGCAAGGGTCACCTAGATGCCATCTGCACGTGTCCACGTTGCTTGCACTGCTTCCTGTTAGAGTATCCCTGCTGTGATTACTAAACATGCTACTGAAAGTGCAATACTTTCATTCTGCATTGGCAAACATTAAGATTGTTTAGGGAATAATGTTTATGCTCACTTTGACTGTAAACAGTGCTTAATTATAGATTCTCATGCGTGATGTTTTTTTTTTTTTAACTTTAAATGAATTATTATGAAAGTAGATCATGCACAGCTCAAGCTTAATAGCTTGTAATTTTCCAGGTGCACATACAGTACTGTCCAAAAGTCTTAGGCAGTCGAAGGAAATGTGTAAGACTATTTATCCAAGTAATAAGGGTATATGTGATCAGAACAAAAAATACAATTTAACATTAGAACATGTGGAAATTAAGAGTAACACAACAAAAACTAACAAGAATTTCCTGCATTCTCCAAGAATTTACTGGTGACTTGTTGGATGGTTAGAAGAACACGGCTTCAGTTCCCAAACCTCTCCTCAGGGGCACACCAGCCATTCCATGTATCTGTTACATTTCACATCCAGCCCAATTAATTCATTAATTAAATCAGTTTAAGAAAGTCATTGACCTTGATTAGCTATACGAGGTGGGGCACTGGTTGAGTCAGAAATACATGGATTTGTTGGATGGTTGCTGCAAATACTGGGGTGCCTTCAGGAGAGGTTTTGAAATGGCAGCCTGGGCTTTGAGCTTATACGTGATTTTCTCAGGATGCCTCAGACTTCTGCACAGTACTGTATCTGTTTATATGACAGCCATGTTTTTAGATGTACAACCATTCAGGGGATGTTTTCAATGACATGCGGGCAGTTGCGTTGCGATCCTCAGGCTTGACCGTTTCTCTTGTGGTTTTATCTCTACCATGTGCTGCTGCCTCGTCCTCCTCAGGATAAAGATGTGGCCAGGCTACAGGACTTCCAGGAGCTGGAGGTCGTGCTGGAGAGGATGGAAGGCCTCTCTCTGCTGTCAGGGGTAGGACACGGCGGCTTGGGCGACAGACCCTGCTACAACATGAAGGCATCCAAACTCACTTATTAATCAGATATGAAGTTCGCTTAAACCCTCAGAGCAGCTGCTTTGCTAAACAGTTGGATTTATGGTCCACGTGGCTGAAAGGTTCACTGTCGTTGAGTTTCCTTCTGACGGTATCTCCCGTGCTTCACAGGCATGGCACTCCATCTCCTAGTACTTAAGCTGACCTACCAGGTGTTTTGGTTAAGGAGTAGTATGTATTTTACCAGTGAAATATAGCAGGCCAAATTAATGAGTGGAGCTCTGGTCACATTATTGATTTTAATTTTTTCTTTTTGAAGAACAAACTTACCCTCTAAAACTGTTTAACTCCTGATTCTGCCTTTCTAACAAGAAATCTGGACAAAATCCCCTTTATTTCCATTGCTGTTCTTCCCCAAGTTGAAGGAGGTCTAAAAGCACCATATAGATATTATATTTTCACTACCATCTTTAATAAACACCTTCTCTTCATCTGCTGTTGCTTCGATACCTTCTGTTAATTTACAGTGTTGCTACATTGTACATAGACACTCAAGACATTCAAGTATATAAGAATACTGGAAAAAATATATATTTTTACATTTTTGTTGGTTCCCATTTGATTTGCATTATTATTAAAATACTCATTACAAACAATTCAGAGAGATGAAACGCTGCTTCTCCTCAAACTGCTTGTGGTACCGTCTAACAGAGAGGTGCATGGAGTTAATCTCCGCTCTTGTTTTGTGGATCAGTGCAATGGGATCGTTTTCATCTTTTGTTACAGTTGAGTGTTTTGCAGTTTTGATCATTAAATTGCACATTTTTTTTGTGGAATTTTAGTGACTTTTTCATTTTTGTCACTACACACATGTACTGCTATATATACTGTATTCAGTTTTTCACATAGAGGCTGCTGAAATGCTCTGTTCATTAGTCTGTCTGTTGATAAATGATGTTATGCAGTAATAATAGCCAGCTCATTTTAACATTCACCATTTGCATATGGCCAGTTTGTCTTTCTCAAGGACTTTGTCCTGCCTACTTAAAATACAAAACTGCATTCAAGGAGCTCAGAACTTCGAAAATACAGGTTTGGAAAATAAAGTTCAAACGTTTTTGCCGATAAATCCTGCTTTCCGTGTTGCTTACAAATCTTAAAGATTCATTGATATTTTGACTGCATTGGTTGCTTAAGGATCTAGATGTTTGCTAATGATGATTAGCACGGTGTAAATCGTCTCTGTGTTCAGTGAATGACGACCATGCGTACCTGCTTTGTTTGATTTAGGATATGTGCACTACATTATCTAGGTGGGAAATTTGATGGAAAATGGGTTCAGCCATGCTGTGTATCCAGAAAACAATCAAAACTCCTCACAAATTACATTGCAGTAAATAATGTAGCAGCAAAGCCATTGTTTTTGAAAGTTTTTAAAGAAAGTGCTTTTTTCTTTTTTATAACCTTCTTAATTTGTTTTCTTTGGGGGAGGCAGTGTGGTAGGGTGGGTGGGTAAAGTGTCAAATTTTTACTAGTAATCATAGTTTGTAATGAAATTGGCATAAAGCACAACGTTGATTTACAAGTAAACAAACGCAAGTTTCAATTTATCATAGATGGGGTTGTATTTTGCTTCTCAGTTTTAATAAAATGAATCTTAATTTAACTTATATTTTTAAAGGCTTTGGGAGAGTTTATATAGGATTTACTTATGTGATTACTGTGACTTTTAGGGGAAAATGCTGTTACATCTCCATACACTGGCCTGAAAAAGAGTTTAAAATGGAAAAAAAAAAAACATAGGGACGTATAACCAAATCAAGAGAGGGTATGAGGATGTAGATGTCAATGTGCACACTTTGTGATACGGAAATGAAGCATGTGCGTGTTTGTGGATGTCGGTGCAGACGGTAAAACTTGGTTCAGTGACGAGCGGTAACTGTTCCTGAATTTTATTTTTGTTTTTTCTATCTTCTATTTCCTTTTACGTCCCTGAAAAGAATAAAGGCAAGGAGAACAAGGGAACTGAAACTGGCATCTCACTAAAGATTATATGAGAAGATGCGGATAAATGTTTGTACCCTGTCATTAATTGTGAAATTTGTTTTGTTTCGTTTTTTGTTTTTTTTTTTGAGAGTGTTTTAACCTCACCCAATCTGAATGACTACAGGGAAGTTTAAACATGTAAACACTACAATCTTCACCCTTCACACTAGGGTCCTGACTCTGTGTCCGGGGTTCTGCTGTGCAGTGGTGACCCTACTGGTTTAGTGGGAATGGTTAACACTGTATTTAATATTTGTTCATTTCTTAGTAAAGAAAGAAAAATGTTCAACTTAACCTATGCATTCAGAGTCTGATATTTTTATATGTCTTATGTAATTTGATAAAAAAAAAAAAAACCTTACGCACTTTTTAACCTGTGTTAAATAACGGGGACCTGTAGCTGTTCATTAATAAAGCATGAGAAATATGTGTCACTGTGCTCTTATGTCTTGTTTTTATCTGTGATTAACTCCAAGACAAGTCAGTGCCATTCTGATGACTCTTTCAGTTGTTTGCCACAAGGGGGGGTGTTTTAGTTACTGCTGACTTGCTGTTTAGAGGAGAGCTTGCATGTTTCGATTACCCAGATTAAGGAGGAATGCACTGTTGTTTGAATGATTGTTTTGCTATTCGGATGTCTTTTCAAGATTTTGGTTAAATATTAAAGTTATTGTAGAAAATACTTGCCATTATATTTAGGGTCAATACATTCATTCATAAATAAATTCATAATTGTTTTCTATAAGAAGGTAGCTAATGGGTAAGTGTATGATTACTTTTTCTAAAAAAAAAAAAAAAAAAGAAATCTAATAGAATTGCTATGTAGGTCAGTAAAAGTTGGCAAATATCTATACTAATTTTAACAGGAGATTCATGCTTCATGCCAAAAAAAAATGAATTTTTGATGAGGCATCAAAAGCCATTTTTACTATGTGTGTTACCAGCGGTTGGTTGAGTCGTGACAAGTTCGCTGGTGTCGAGTTTGACGAATGGATTTTGCATTTTGAGAAATTCCCTGTCATGTCATTCCCGGAAAGCGACAAATATTGGCAAGTCTGCAAACTTCCTGATGGGGAGACAAGTTTATTCTCGGATCCCTCATCAACAAGACGGCTCACGCTCGGCGGCTGGGTTTCGAGGGGAAGCTCGCCCTGTGCCTTTCCTCTCTCCTGTTACCCTCCCACTTCACTGACAGATGATGGCTCGCATGAGGATAGATGAGCCCCGGCTGCCAGCCGGCTGAGCAGCGTTTGCTCCCTGAAGGTGTGGCACTTGAAATATGTCAGCCTCTGGCTTCCTTTCCTTAAGATCATTTGAGGCTACAGGTGTGAGTTGGGGAAAAAGTAGCTACTCGATTTGGTGACAAAGCATGGTTTTATTGTTTATTCAGAGAAAACCAGATCATCAGGCTCTGTCAACATTGACCCATAGGATGTCTGTTGCAATACATACATTTCTTTCAAGTCATAGTACAATTGCTGGCATGTTGAGTGACTCCTGGGTTTTGTGATCAAAGGGTTAGCATTAAATTATTTTTGGTGAGCAGTGCGGGGGAGAGGCTCCTGACTTACACTGTTTTAGTTTTATTCTCATATGCACAGAAAACAGTTTCAATGTACAATGAAATTCTTACTGGGAGTGCATTACCTGTAGCCATCTGCTGCTTATAGACCCAGGTATTGGGATTATGGCAAGTGAGATACAAAAACATGGTGTACTGCACATGTGTGACTAAACCGCTGTTATATGTTGATGTTATTGCTCATAGCCACCTTCATTCATTTATGTAGGAGTATTTAACAGTTGATCACAGTGTCCCATTTTAGGGGCAGATCATGCCAGGGACCTGCATTGACGTTAACGGCTTTCATGTTAGAACTTTGCTACGCATACACGGGCTGTGGAATTTTAAAACAAGTTCCCTTCCTGATAAATTCTTTGCAAAGGCATTCAAACGGAAAACAGTTGCCGAATCGCCTTGGCAAAAGCACAGTAGGTGATGCTTCAGTAGTATTTGACAAGACACAAGCATAACAAGATGTGGATGTATTTGGCTGCTGTGCGCCTTTTGTACCCTGTTTGTTTTCATGACATTAGATTTGTGGTTTAGCTAAGCCTGAAGAAATAAATCTGTAAGAAAACACGGTGCTTGGGCGTGAGGGTAAGGAGAACCTGGAGAAACCCCTCCCCAGAGATCTTCAACTCAGGTTTTTAGTTTAAACATCATTGCTTTCTGCTTTGAAATTTGCTTAAATATAATGTAATAAAAACTATTTTTTTGACTTAATTCGTGTATGTTTCTGCACAGCAGGTCGCAGTGAACCATGGGAAATATGGAATGAAAGTTGGGGTACATCCTGACTACCAATCAGCTACAGGTCACACAAAGTGTCACATAAATACACAAACAACATGTGCTACTAGGACTGGAGCTGAGCCTGGGTATGAGACCGCAAATTCGCCCACATGCAGAAAACGTATTCCATAGGTTAACTGGGGACATAATTGTGCCATGGTACATTTAGGGCAATGCTTTTACAGTTTTACCAAATGAATGTCCTTGACAATCCCATGAATAAGCGGGCGTGTGGCTGTCCTCTTTTGTGGTGCGTTGGTTGTGATATAATGGTGGTCAGATGTTAGACACTAAAATATAAATGAATAACATGCATCTGTCTTCAGTTACGCCTGCCTTCCCCACCAGGTCACGTCCAGCTTCGGGTGCTACGTGCTGTATGTGTGTTTTCATTGGCATGGACTCAGAATCCAAATTATCTTTAGAGAACAAAATGGGAAGCTGTTAGCATACTTTTACTATTTGAGTTTAATTTGTCTTATTTTTGTCTCATGAAAAAGAAGCCGCCTTTTCTTCTTTATCCCTCCGTAGGCCCCGGGTATCATCAATCTTCGCTTTACCACATGCGTTTGACAAGAGTTTATTAATTTCTCCTCCAATTTAAAAATGTCACTCACCAAAGACGTATCAGGTGTTGCCTTCTTTGGGGCAACTGAGGTAAACTCTCGCTAGTGAATGAGACATGAAAGAAAGCATTCTGTTGTAGCTACTCTTCAGCTGCCTATCACATTCTTTGCACTGGATTTTTACTATGCCAGATCTTTGAACTGGGTTTCTTGCCTCAGAAATGACAAATGAGCTTAATCTATGCCGGAGGCCATGCTTACCCTAACTTGGGTCTACAGCCATGTGTAGGTTGGCGGATGGTTACAATCATCCTGCCATTTAACTCTTTCTGTGCAAGTATATATACGGGCCATGCATATCTATATGCTCAGATGTAAATATACATGTCCCCACAACCTTATAATAGATAAGTGATATTTCTAAGATGGACGAATGGAGTTAATTGATTGTCTATGATGTGTGTGTGTGTCTGTGTGTGTGTGTGTAAGTTAGTATTTATCACATTGTAGGTACCAGTTGTCCCCGCAATGCGATAAAACTTTACTTTTTAGGTTGTAGGGACATTTTTTCAGGTCCCCATAGTATAAACCTCAATTTTATTTAAAAAAATAAGTGATTCCAGTCACTTGTCACAAATTGCCTAAAGTCTTGCATTTTGTGTAGTTACTTATGGTTAGGGCGGGGTCGGGGTTAAGGGTGTCATATTTGGGTATAGGATTATGCCCATAAAAATGAATAGATGGTCCCCACAAATATAGGAATAGTGGAGCTGTATGTGTGTGTGTGTGTGTGTGTGTGTCCTGCAATGGACTAGCATCTCATCCAGGATGTACCCCAGCCGTTTGGCTTCAGCCCCCCGCCCCAAAAAAAAAACTGGTTAGAAGAAATGCTTAGAAAATGGATATGTATATCTTGCCCATTTTTAAAAAGCCACTTTGCACAGTTTAATTTGTTTAGACTAGGATGATCGCACTTGTTTAAATATTTCAATGCAATATTTCTGACAATTGTTTGCGTATTTTTAAATTAACTGCACCCACTGAAACTAAACTTTATATGTCAATTTACCATGTTCATGTTAGAATCTAATTTGTGTTTTGCCACAGCTTCTGAACATTGATTCCAGAACAAAAACGGTGACCAACGGTGACTATGGGATATATTTTAGCTTCATTAGAACGTGCCTTCAAATCACTGCTGAAGGAAAAATATATCTAGTTCTTTAGTGGAGGTATATTACTCCTGCGGTGTCCATGCCTGGAGGATGAGGTCAGGTTTGTTTCTCCTGCCAGTGAAGCCCCGCCTTTCACCCCCCAGAGCAGGACCTGGGTGGTCGCTCACCCCATCAGCCCAATTGCATTTCATACCTGGGAGCTGCTGAACACAATGTTCACCCCATTGTCTTGGTTTCATTTTCTGCAAAAAAAAATCACTCAGTTTAAAAATTAAACTTGTTTCAGTAGAAAAGCGGCAATAGACGGCTCTTGGCAAAGCGTGAATCGTCACTGCTTTGGGAGCTGATGGACAGCTGCACGTCTGCTTCTGTCACATCCTGTGCCTGCGCAGCGCAATAAGGCCAGCCTGCAGGATTTTGCATTTTTAGGAAAAGCAAACAAACCTCTAATACCCTCTAATCTGAGGGAATATGTGCCATATATCAGATATGAGGGTAAGTAGTTAGACCTTAAAACTTCCATACATCCATCCATCTTCCATACCTGCTTGTCCTATGCATGGTCTCAGGGGTCTGGAGTCTATTCCGGAAGCAATGGGGGGGAGGCAGGGAATAACCCAGGATGGGGGCCAGCCCATCAAAATTGCAGAACATTAAGCTTTTGCCCCCTTTTTTGTCCAGGAGTATATTAATATGGTAATACATATACAATTACTTAAAAAAAAAAATTGTGTTTAAGGGGAACTGAACTATTGCTTATTAGTAGTAGAAGCAGTATGATTAAATGAACATAAATTTGAATGGAATAGAAACAAGCTTGTTGATTAAACATTGCCACAGTATATAGCTTTATACCCAGTCTACGGTTTCCCCGATTCACAAGTTACCTCATCTGATCTCCGAACACTGTGGCTGCCTGGATATTGTTCCCTTCTGTTAACGTTTGCCCTGGAAACATAAGTCTGGAAACGAGATGAACAGGGTTCAAACAAGGCTATGCGGGCATCTGAGCTGCTGTCAGATGCGGTAATAGGCTTACTGCATATAATAACTTTGTTGTTTCTATTCAAAATTAATTTCAAAATAGAACTGGCAAATGTTACAATCTGTTTTGCTGAGAACATTTGGAGATAAAAAGATGTTCCAGAACTCCACTGTTCAGTGCGATGTACATTTGTAATCAATGTACGTGTTTATGTTTTACACCCTCACCAAATGATTAATGAGCAAAATTTCTAGAGCATTTTTATTGATTTATGACTTTCGGATTCCCATTACACTTCAGGGTACATAAGAGTTAGTAACCTTGAACTACAGACAAAGAACAACTACGACTG